TCTTAATAATAGTGATAATCGACTTTATTTAGAGGTAACACGTGATAGTTGCCAATAAACTTGTAGCAAATAACTCTATGTCAACGTCTTTATTAGTGAGACGGGACTGCTATTTTACGTGGTCATCTAAGCCACGGCGAAGGTCTAACCATTTGCAAATATTTTTCATTAGAGCTCCTTTTAAAGTGTATATCAAGGAAGTTTTTTTTTCAAAATCACTTATATGTAAATAGTGTAGTAGTATTTGATATTTCAAATATTTATATCTCTGAAAAGAGAAGTCCACATACAAAAATACTGCAACCACACCACTACACTGTTCACATATAAGTGATTTTGAAAATATTTTTCCCCCTTGATATACACTGTAAGATGCAATTACATCTTGAAAATTACTCTTTCAGGTTGTACGTAAAGGTTTCTTATTTCAGACCACGTGTAACTTTCTAGAGTATCATTTCAACAGTTGTACATATTAGATACACGAACATGATGAGTATGGATACAACTCAAACAGAGAATCTTATTTTGGAGGGAATGACACGTGGTTTGAAATGGGAAAACATTACAACCAAGGTGAAGAGTTCTATTCTAAAGAAATATCTCATAACAAACTCAATCCACTAAATAATTGTTCAAAGCTTATTATAGGTACGAATTTATTTTGTATCTTTTACAAGGAGTTACTACAAACATATGCTTTGCATGAAAGTTAAATAAACACAATATAGATCACGTGTGAGTGGAAAACATACGGCAACTTGACTTATAAATGGCTTTCACATTCTAAGCTGGTGATTGGACAGTATGTGTTTACTCATATTTGACTGGTTCGCACCGGAAGTCCTTCCAGTTGCTTTCGAAAATCAAATCATGACTGGTGTGCTTTTTGGCAAATTTTTTTTTTCATTCATATTTTTGATTGGCTGGTACCAAATTCAAGAGCTTTGATTGGACAATGCGTTATCTCGGTTTTTGATTGACTGTTACCCGAAGTATATCAAATGGCTTCCAAATTCAAATACTAGCTGTGATTGGACAGCTTCTGTCTAGCTTTCTGATTGGTTGAGTGTGATAACCATCTTAAGTCGTAGTACCATACGCAACCTGTCCCTCGACACTTTACTATAACTTTTCGTTACCATTTGAATGTCACTAAAATGCTTTAAAAGCCCATTATATTTAGGGATTAAATGAATTTTGAATTCTTGACATAAGAATAAAATATCTTTGTCTAAATATGATAGAGTTTTTACCCTAATATGGAAAAAATAATTTACGCGATATATATTCACAGAAATGTCTATTTGGATGAGGGGTGGTGTCTTTTGGGGGGAATAGTTAACACGTGATAAGCTAATGTTACAAAGATCTTAACATATTCTAGCTAGCTTATGTAACTTACATTATCAATTCCGAATTTGAGGGAAAATGGCGGTGCATTGTGGACACTGTTTTAGGAGACATAGTTCCAAGATGGCGTCTATTTTGTCCCCTTAAAAAGCCCACAATGCACTGCAATGCCAACTCGACCCAGTTTCCCTCAACCTCGTAATATCTAATATCACGAGGTAAGGTTGTGCAATATAACCGATATTGTGGTGCAAATAATGTAACAAGTGATTTTGCACGTGACAAACAGACCGTAAAATTACAGAGCCAGTTTTCCTATTTCAGACCATTCCTTGGAGTATCATTTCTTTGTTTAACAGTTGTGCATAAGAAGACACATGAATATGGATACAACTAAAACAAAGAACATTACTATCAAGAGAATGACACGTGGTCTGAAATGGGACAACATTACGCTCAAGGTAAAGAAGTCTATTGTCGACATATATATAATTATCATATTCTATTCTATACTTTGAAACCAACCTAACTATGAACTAGTCATAAGTGTGATACAGCATTTGTAAGTAACCCCTGTCCTTTCCTAATCAGAAGATGTCTATATTATTCCATCTCACGTATGGGAAGTTTATGTCCGTGAATCCGCTTCCTACCCGGCCCAGGACTTCCACTAAAATGTCAGAAAATGTGAACTCGAGATTTATTTGTGGCGCTAAACGCCCAGTCAAAATGGAAATAGAATGGACTACTTCGATGATACGGCGGCCATCTTGGATCGCAAGGCATTAAGGGACATTCAGGCAAATTAGAGCTAATGTGGAGCTTGATGATATATTTTTCTTTATGTCTCCTGTCATCATTACAGCAATAGACGGCAAATCGATCACCTTCACACTTGAAAGAAATACAAACACACAACACTCTCTACATATTATCCGCCATCTTTGTTTTGTTTCCGGGCCCCTGGCCGATCCATAATGCCTTGCGGTCCAAGATGGCCACCGTATCCTCTAATTCACCTTTTCGGCGCTAGCTTGGGTTGTGTTACGGTCACCAAAAAGTTCGGACATCGTTCTCGGATTCCCACACAAATTCACTGACTTTAAAGAGAAAATTTAGGTAGATTTCTTTAGTTAGCTATCTTAACAGCAGTAAGAAAAGCTTCAATCAAGCTAGAAAAATGATCATTTACTTGTATATAGAGAACTAACTAAACATTAACCAAGTAAATAGTTCATTTAGAGTCAGTACATTTGCACAGAAATTCGAGAACCATGTTCGAACTTTTTGGTGACCGTACACAATCTAAAGCAATTTATACCCCGTGACGGCAAGCGCGGAAAAGGTGAATTCCTCCATTCCTAGACCGTCCTCGATTTATTTACGACCAGTTCTGATAATTGCACCAAGATTCCAAAGAATTGGAAGATCAAGTGCTCAAGTTCACTCCCTTGGTTTATCTCCAAGGAAACCGCAAGAATCGATAACTTGGAGTGACAACCAAGCTATCCCCGCCCCTGCCAGTCTAGGGATCGTACATTTGATGCTCAATTTAACTACAAATACGTAATAGAATAAAGGATATGAAAAAGAGTACTAGAGTTGGTGAGTGGCGTGATCCACTGCCTTCACGTCGAGCAGACTCTGTGAAAATATAATAAATAATTATTAATGGTTAAAAATTAATCTGCGACCAAACATCTGCAAGATGAGGACACTACATGAATAGCCAACGGTAACAGGTGATCTATGATGTTAAAGGCGTAAAAGAAGTAGGGATCGGCCTATAGTTGGAATCTACGAGTCGATTTTTGTGAAGGGAACTGAATGCCTAAGAATTTTCAAAATTAAAGATAAAATTTTTAATTTCAAAACCTGGAGAATCGAACCCGGGTCGCATTGTTGGCGAATAGGCTTGGCTTTCGCCGCTACGCCACCCGCATTCCCGCGGGATTTCAAGAGACAGAGCTATCAAATAAACATGACAACGTACCTTGGACCAAGGGGCCTTTACGTATAGGATCGATATAGACCTTCAGGGGCCCTAAAGACACATCATAGATTTTACTTGTCATGTTGAGTAGACTCGTCAGGTTGTCGTCCATGATGACTTCCTCTGTTTCTCTGGTCGTGATGTCTCTCTTAGTTAGGTACCGGGGCCTATCGGACTTAGAACAGGCCTGGTTACACCGCGACGCGTTGTTATCCTTGTGGCATACTATGGCCTCGCAGTGAAGGTAAACTTGGCTGGAGTCTTTTGACTGAGTGAAACGGAACGCTTCGAAGCTGAACCGCTGCTCTTGGTCGATAGAGAACTTGTAGTTTAGTGTCTGGTCAGTTGGACACCTGTGGAAACGAATGAATGAGAATGAATGGGAATGAATGGATGGGAATAAATGAGATGACAAATGAAAGTAAATTCGGAAAATTGAATACTAATTGTTTGATGGTCACCTTTGGAAAAAATAAATGGGAACGAATGGAATGAGAATTACCATGAGAATACTTTTATATACCTACCCGTTCATGAGTACATAGTACGACTGTTCGTGGTTCGGGTCTGGAGATGGTGTTGCTTTGCAACGGTCAAGAAATAGCGTCAGTCCCGTCGTGTTGGTAAGGACCTTGACTTTAAGGTATACTCGTTCCCCTACCCTCACCCTGACGGGAAACCGTGTATAAGGACTGAAATACTTGCTTGTCTGGAACATGGTCATGTGGAATGAGAAGTTACCAAGTTTTACTAGAACCAAAAAAAAGGTGAGTTAGAGGACGAATGGATAGATGGGGGAAAGAGGAATGGACAGAATGAGAGGGAGGGAGGGATGCACGGACGGACGGATGGATAAATGGATGGACTGATGGATGGATGGACGGACGGATGAATGAATGGATGGATGGATG